CGCGTAAAGGAGAAGAGTTACCTTCACAGCAAGTGAGGTTCATTTCCTTTTTCGTGCCAAAATGTGTATACTCCAAATTCCGACGAAGCGAAGTCATCTAAGGAGCAAGTCAAATGTCCACATAAAGAGCCGAAGAAACGACCCGCAATCATACACCTCCACAACAAAGCCCGATACAGCACGACGAAAAGAGAAAAGGAAAACCTAGATGCCTTGTAAGTTATAGAGTTAACTTTAATTAATATAAATAATAATATTAATAATTAAGTAAATTAATTAAATAATTAATGATATAATTACTTGCATAAATTAATTTATATATCAATTTATTAATAATTGAATTAAAATTAATATGTTAGCTTAATTAATATATAGCTAAATATACAAATATATATTATTAAATTCATAACACATTAATTTTATTTTTATAAAGTTTTTAATATAAATATTTTTTTACATAATTTCTTAATGTCTATATATTGATGTTGATATTAATATTATCAAGAGAGGTTTCTTAACACCATTTGAAATTTTCAACCGATTTTCGAACATCCCCTTAAAATGAATACTCCACGCTAAGTACTAACAAAGCTCCGCTTTTTTTTTGAAATCATATGTAAAGCCGCTTTGGGAAATATCTAAAGCATCGTGACCCAGACCTTTCATTCTGATCAAGACTGCTCACGTTTTTTTTTAATAATTGTGTTTCTTTTTTTTTGGGCATGGAGCTACCATCTGAAAAGGCTGGTTGTTTGTTCATATTTATTTTATAATACTCATTTATTTAATAGAATATTAACGATAAAATATAAATTATTTTTATCTAAATACATAAAAAAACTCCAAAGAATAAAATAAGAAAGTAAACTCACGGAAGGACACACAAAATTAATAATAATAAAAAATATTGGTGTCACTCAATTTAAAATTTAAAATAATCTTATATAAAAGTAGATTTTTTTAATTAATAGAAAATATGAGTTAATAAAATAATTATTGATTAGTATTTTTACCTTTACTCGTACTATGAGAAATGGTATTCATGTCACAGTGATTAGTTGAGATGACAAATTATACAACTAGAAATAATGATGATTGAAGATTTATTGTCCGGGCTAAAAATTACAGTCGGCGAATAGACGATTTGATTCTAGCGTCTTGCGTTGTACGTATAACTTAGCACACACACACAGAGAATCGACAGATGATTTTTTATATGGAAAACCCTAAAACGTGGATAAACCACGATGCGTAGCCCATTGAAAATTGATCCACAAGACTTGAGTTATAAGGACTGAATCATCTTCAGGTAACAAATACAATCAATTACTTAAGTAAAACGTTCAGCTCGACAGACGTAGAAACGTTGAAATGTCGTGAGGGGCCCTGAGTAGGACGTCGCGCGTCTTTCGGCGACGGATCTCAAGTCGCTGCGATTCCGTAGTGTCCCCCGGTCTAATGGAGACCCGACGTCCCTGCCCCTTGATACAAGACTCGAAAGACGCCGACGTTGCGAAGGGCTAACACTCGGTCCTCCTGGCAGGTACATTCTTGAGGACTTCGAAGAACTCGAGCGTGTCACACGTCCTCCCTGAGGCTCAGACGCCTCGGGGCTCTATCAGATACCCAGTGAAACCAAGGAGTACAAGCTAGGGGAGCAGCTTAGAATAAGCCGACTTACCATTCTGCCGAGTTGAATAGTAACCGAGCGTCTCTGCTATGTCAACACTAGAACGTCCCGAACTCGGTCTTCGGCAGCCAGTCCCTACGTCTCCGTAAGCTAAAGTAGCCCGATCTGTCATTTCATCAGATCCGTCAGTGCTCAGGAATCTGACGTCGGGCCTAGGTGTGGTCCGGCGAGGTTTCGCGTGTCCTGTCGAGGTTCCCGGCCGGTCGTGCCGGAGAGGTGTTGACATGGTCCGCGGCTTTGTCGAGGAGCGACCCTTCCTTCCTTCTCCATTCCTCTCTTCTTCTCTCTCTTGCTTGATCCCTTTGTGAAGAATGAGGGCCTATTAAAAAAAGTAGAATTTTCTGGAGTGCAATCGTAAATATGTGTGTAGATCAATGGCGATATGGAGGTCAAATGACGACCCCGTATGAATCCTACGACCGCACCGTTCGTTGGCATTTGAAGGCCTTAATGATTGTCGGAATTCAGCGACTTGGGCTCTGGATTCGTCTCGTCAGCGTCGATTTCGAGTATAAGCGTAAAAAAAACGGAGACCGTTTGGTAACTCAAATTGCTGTTGAACTCCAACAGCACTTTGAGCCCTTGATTCGGACTCATTTTGGCTCGGATTGGGTTGACTGGCGTCGTGAGTTCGATTTCGAGACGCCAGTGTGACTATAAAGCTCGCTGAAATCGGCAGTTCATATCTCCCGATTTAATTTTGAAGTCTTCAACTAGCTTTTGCCTCGAATTTGCGTCTTATTATCTAATTTGTGATGACGTATCAAGATAATATTCTTTTTTTTTTAATTCTTCCGGTGTATTAATTTATTTATAATATTTTTATTAATACATTATTGTTGATGATAGCTTATTTTTTTCATATAATATGTTGTATAATTCTTTTCATAGGACAGAGCTGCCAAAATCTTAAACGTCAGCTTGTTCATATCTATTAAAAGAGAATATTATATTATTAGTTTAGTCCTTGTAAGAAAGATTGAATAAGTTAATAAAAAGGCTTGATCAAAATAAATTAGAAATAATTTTTTTATTAATCTAAAAAAAGGACTAAACTGTACACCCAATACCAGTGGCGTACCAGAATTATTTATTAATAAGCGGAACACAAAATTTTAATTTAAATAAAATAACCATCAGTTGAAAATGCATAGAATTGTTATTTTTAAAAAAGTATCTAACTTTAGTTCTCATATCATATTTATATAGAATAAAAAATAAATTAATAAATATTTTATAACTAGTAAAAATAAAAACAGCTGCATCTTATTAATATAAAAGATATAAAATATAATTATATATTTTTAAGCTACTCAATTTAAAATTAAATATGATAAATCTTTTCTATGTATTGTTGTTTTTAATTATTATAATTTTATAAAAGAAATTTTAGATAAAATATTTAAAAAAATGATGAATTTTTATTTAAAAAACTAATAATGTAAGATAAAGATTAAATATTATATATATATTATATATATAATATAATATAATATAGAATAAAAAAAAATTTAAGAATGATCTATAAAATACAAAATAAATTAGCTAGTAGACAGCATCAAGTCAAAAAAGGTTCCACATGGCACTTATAGAGAGAGAGAGAAGAAGCATTCCAGCCAATATTGAATGGCTGTATAAGAATAACAAAAAATTTTTTTTTTTGGGGGGGGGGGGGGGGTTGCACATGCGCTCCGCCCCTAAATTCCGCCACTGACCAATACATATATTGAAACTAAAATTTTAAATTAAGCAACTCATTGATCAGTTGATTAAGATTTTGATTATCTAATTAAAATTTTTTAATGAAAAATTTAAGATATTGATATAATATGTGTTGCATGGCTGAATATACCGGGAAGCTAGAGATAGAAAAATTATTCGTCTTAGCGTTGCACCGAGTATTTCACGCACAACGAAAGGAGAATGAACGACCGTATAGTTTTACGTAGTTAACACCGAAAAAGGGAAAAACCACGAGCGCCCGCCAGTTGTAAAATTCACTAGTGTTTCCTGTAAATTACAAAACCTGATTCGTCCCACAAACGGCTGATCACATATAAATTGAAGAAAATTCAAAGTTGCAGATCCCGGTCGTTCCCGAAAATCCGGCAGAGTTTTCGGCGTATTTCAGACACGGAAGAGCTCGCGGTTGGTCGAGGAGGAGGATTCGCGCTTTTTCCCTTTTCCTTCTTCTTCTCTCTCTTCAACTTGAGTCCCCTTTTTGTGAGAATTGATGGATCATTTATAATTTTTCTGGAGTGCATCAAAGT